AATGAAATCAAGGGTTGAACTTTTCTTCAGCTCAAATGCAGGCTTTGCTCAACTGATGCACACCAAAAAGTAGACTCAAGGTGAAAAATTTTCCTTTTCACAAGTAGATATAAAATGCTTGAGAACACAACAATAAAAGTTGAACCGAGGGACATCTGTACAAGAAGCAGGCATTTCTGGGCCCAGAAGGAAATCAAACAGATGTGGATAAAGAAGAGGCTAGAGAAGAAGATACACAAAAAATGGGTTTTCAGGTGAAATCTGAAATCTTTCCACACAGGACTTGCAACTTAAGTTTTAGGCCTTCACTGGCATGGACAGCTTCTCTGCTTGCTACCACTCCTACCACAAAGGCCCAGCTTGGAGAAAGAAGTGTTTGTAGGCAAATGAATAAGATGGGAGGGGAAATCACTACAATATAAAGGGGTCAACTCAGCCAATAGCAACAGTGGGCCAGTTACACTAACCGTAGTGTTAGCTTTTTAAGCTACGCTACACAAAAGTTACCGTTAGTAGGAATTTTTGGCCCACTAACACTACAGGATTTTTGAAAAACAAAAAAACAACTTTAGCGTAGTGTTAGCTACCTTTAAAAAGGCACAACTAACACTACCCAAAATCCTGTTAGTGAAATTTTAGCGGTGTTAGTGGGTGAACCCACTACACTACATGTTAGCGTAACTGGTCAAAAAGTTACACTAACTGTTAGTGTAACTGATTAAAAGTTACACTAACTGTTAGTGTAACTGATTAAAACTTACACTAACTGTTAGCGTAACTGACTATGTAGTTACATGACCACATGACTAGCGCTAGTCTACCCTGAAGACAGTGCCTGATTGGGGAGCCTAAATCCAGATCACCTCAATTGATCATCATTTTTTTTCAGTTGGTACTGGGGGCCACTCAATTTTATCCCCCTTCCATTTTTTAACACTTACTTGTAAGACCACATTCCCTTGTCAGACTACCTTAAGACCATGGGTTCAATTCCCCCTCTGACCATACTTTACTGGGTTCCATTCCCACACTTACTTGTGAAGTTGTGTTCAATTTCCACTTTCACATCATGCAGCAAGGGGGGGGGGGGGGGTGTTGAGGTGTATGATAGTCTGCTACCATTATGTATCACCAGAATGTGGTGGAGCTGTTAGTTAGCATGGGCCATGACAACTACCACCCAACTGACCTGGCAAACACAAGCATCTGTAGCCTAGTTGGTAAAGGAAGCACTCTTGTATGTGACTCAGCATTACTGAAGTTGTGAGTTCAAATCTCACTGAGCACATCCTTGTTTGTTTTTCTCCACATCTTGTGCTGTTCATTTTCTGCGGGATTGTGTGTGATCACGGGACATTGAAAATTGTCACCGTGGACCTCGGCCGTATCAGTCATATGAACATTTCACATAAGTTGTGCAAAAATCCAGCTTGACGCATCAATTTCTTTAATTGATGAGTTACACTACGCTACATGTGTAGTGTAACTTCTAATGTAGTGTAGCGTAACTAGGCATGTAGTGTAGTGTAGTGTAGCTTAATTTGGTATAAGTTACGCTAAATGTTAGCGTCAACTCAGTTACGCTGTTGGCTAGTGGAAGTTTTGTTAGCTTGGAAAAAGTTACGCTACTTGTTAGTTTAGTGGCAACTATTTCAAGCTAACACTAAATAAAATTTGACAGAAAAATTTCACGCTACGCTGGCAGTTAGCTCAGCGGTGTGTAGTGTGAACTAACACTACAGGATTTCCAGCAAAAAAAAAGCAACTACGCTAACATGTAGTGGCCAAATAGCGTAGTGTAGCGTAGCGGCCCACCATTGCCAATAGGCAAGCATGAACCATGTTGGATGGTTGGATTGAGTCTCAATGACACCCAGGGATCATTAACAGAGGTTGAAAACTGAATGTTTGTGAAAATTGTTTTGCAGCTGTAGAGTACAAGGGACTATCCTGGGTCAAACCCTGATGGTCTGGTTGACATGGAAATTGATGGACACTGGTGCAGATAAAAGTCTGAAGGGTTAGCTGATATTTTTTTTTTGTTTTGAAAGTGAAAGAGGGCAAGGATCATTGTGCTTTAGAACAGAGGTTTTGCATCAAGTTCCTGACCATGAATTCCTCCTCAACAACACTCAATTAAGGTGTCCACCTGTCTGCTGCTCAAAATGGAGCAGAAATTATTCAAGTTGCAAATTGTAAACATCTGACTTGAAGTTATATATGTAGTTTCCTGCACCCTTTCCCAGTCCTTAATAGAATCCAAAAACACTCCTGAAGTTGTGGAAAAAGTATTTAAACAATGCATCACTGATCCTCACTTTGGTCCCTTTGCAAAAAAAAAACACAGGTTTGTTACTTAGAGTATCTCTAACAGAGCAGGGGAGGATTGGGCTATTTCCAGCAGACTCAACCAGCATTACCCAAATTTCCATCAACTTTGGCCTATCAAAAAGTGCATCCGGTGGTTACTTGAAGTTCCAGAGCGCCCCTCAAAGACATGATGAGACTTACTGGGCCAACAAGTGAGATGATGGGAAGGACAAGGAAAAGGAATCTTTCCATAAGCTCACTTCTGCCCAGGTGTACTACACATACTGTGATGTAAGTGTGACAGGTATGTAGCATCCAACAGCACACAGAGTGAAATGGAAACATGATCACTCAACAAGACATCCCAATCAGCTCTGGATTGTGATCTTTTGAGGGACAGCCCAGATTGACTTGGAGCAGACCTGCCAAAATCGGGGTCTGGGAAGCCATTTTTCCTGGCTATCCAGGGTGGTGAGGGGTGGGATGGAAAAAAAAAACTAGCTGGGAGAGCTGTTCTAGCTTGACCAAGCCTCTCAAACAGAATGGGGGAGGTTCCCCGGCATTCCAATGGGACACACTCCATAGCAGAGACTTATAACATCAATATTTTGGCACAAGCCCTTTGGAGAATGTGTGGCTTTCTTGCACCATTTCCGCTGTGGAACACTATTACAGGAGGCTGGGTGATCTGGAGGGGGGAATCTCCCGCAGAACAAAGTAGCCTGGGCTTCAAAATGATGTATGTGTGTGTGTGTTCAACTTCCCCATCAAGCTGATGTGAGCAGCAGGAAAACCCAAGAGATCTTAGAAACAGTTTGGGTCTTTGGGATGGTGTATTAATATGCACTGTCATAGCTTATATAGTACTGGCAGTGGTAAATATGGATTGCCAGACAGACAGAAAACCCTGGAATTGCTTGTGTTGTTGAAGGATTGAACACTTAGAATGGATGCACATTTGGTGATCCAGGAGGGAGCAGCCAAAAAGGTCTGCAAACTGGAGGCGATTCTGATGGTACATTAAAGCGCATCTAGTGAGCCCCCAATGGAGCAGAAGTTCAGAACAGGTCACCAAAAACGGCCATCAAAGAGCCTCAGAGCAGCCAGCTGACCAAGCACAAAAAAGGAAGCTGACACATACATATAGCTTCCAAGAAGCCTCTCCTTTTGAGAAAGAGGCTTTGGAATTGCACCACAGTCAGAAAATACCTGCCCCCCCCCCAAAAAAAAAAAAAAAAAACACACACACACACATGGGGTTTAATCTGTGACCATGGAGTGACCTGTTATGTAGGCTGCAGGTTTGACTCTTTTGGCCTACTGAAAACTGCACATTCCACCCCTGCTCTGTTTAGAGATGTTGGAATTTTGTCTCTCTCTCCTCATCCCTAAAATCATTTTTGTTTAATCTTTTGATTATTAAATGATTAAATAATAGAATCCAAATGATAATACAATTTTTGTTAGTTTCTGTGTGGTATCTTGTCCTGTTGTCTAGTGCTACAATCCTTGTAGTCTTCAAACCCTGGTCTAGTCTTTATCAATAGTCATTTGCTCCAGTCATCTATCCAAGAATTTGTTGATTTTTGTTATTCATTATGATATTCATTTTTCTCTCAACCACTTGTTTGAGCTCTTGTATGTAGACTATTTAACACGTAGTCTCCTCTAAGTAAAAAACACATTGGTTCTTACACTCATTTTCCGCAAGCCTTTCCCAAAACAGTGTTCTTCCCTTTTTTGGCCCTCATCCTCTTATGCACCTGAGTCATAAATTTCTTCAAGAGATGCTCTCACAATCACCTTTTTTTTTAAAAAAAAAGAAATTCATCCATCCAGATGTTTTTTTTTTTTTTAATTTTCTGATAATTCTACTTGAATGTATATATATATAACTGCCACCCATGGGCCACACCCAGCTAGCCCACCTCCTAAGAAACCTATCCAAGATCACACACACACACACACAGCCCAACTTGTTTTTTTTTATCCAGATAAATCTAATCCCTCCCCATCCCTTCACCGCTCAACCCAAAAAAAGGCAAGTCCAAGAACCAGAAAACTCTGTGATTGGTATCATCACACCGACTCAAAGATGAGGCCTTTGCACCACAATTTGTCTGAAAGCAATCCTGAGATTGTCATAGAGAAGATCCACAAGAATATCAGCCCTGTCCAACAAATTTTTCAGACATCTCAATCAATCCATCAATTTCAGCACTCAATACAGCACACCGTTCCATACATCAGCTTATTTTAACAGTTGGTGTTGTTTGGCTTTCCTTTCAAGGCATTGAATGTTGAAATAAGTGAATGTATAGAACAGAGTGTGGTGTATTGATCACTGAAATCAACTGATTGATAGAGATGATCAAAAAATGTTGTTGGCCGGTGCTGATGTTCTTGAGGATCTCCAAGACAATCTCAGGATTGAGACACTTTGAGACAGACTGTTGCAGAAAGGCCTCATCCTTGGGTAGGAGTGGATGCGAGGAATCAGAGCGTTTTTTCGGACTAACCTATCCTCATAAAGACAATCTCAACCACACCCCATTCTTCTCATTTTTTTTTTTCAAATTTCCAGGCCAACAAAAAGCGAAAAACAAAAAAAAGGGGGGGGGGGGGGGGGGGGGAACACTATTAATGAAGAAGAAGACGATGAGGATGATGGTATTTTGTTAACAAGCCAATTATCCAACAAGATTCTTAAATTTTTGTAATTTGTCTTGAATAATCCACAACCTATAAAAAAAAGATTTATATAAAAAAAAGTGTCAATGATGAAGATGAAAGCAATTAACCGCCCCAAAAAAAGAAGTCAGTTTTTTCCTTTCAATTGAATTAAATTTGAGAGAGAGAGAGAAGACGTACACTTGATTGATCCCGTCGATTTCCTGATTCCCGTGTAGCTGAGGAAGCGGGTTGGCAGGATGAAGATTGAGGAGCTGAGGACTCAAGCCCAACTTCGATTTCCTGGATGCCAGATGGAGATAACAGAGATCAAGGACGCGATCGAAGTACTGTGCAGTTTGTTGATCCTGTATCCACAAAAACAACCCCCCCAAATAAGTATAAAAAAAAAAACAAGAAAGGAGTGAAAAGAGAAGAAGAAAAGAAAACAAACGTGTTCATCAATAGCATTGATACAGCTCCAGATCCAGCGCAGCTTATTAAGTCCCTCGTGGCCCAAAGACGGATGAAAGCGATCGACGACGAGTTCCGGATGATGCTGAGGATGATGGTGGGGGTTCTGATGATGATGATGATGATGGTCGTCATGAGAGTTGAGACGGAGGAGATTATCGA